ATCATGCACTTACGCTGTGGAAATAGACGCGGAAAGTTTTGCCTTAAGTTTTGTTGCGAAGTAATCATATTAGAGCTTTGCCGCAACTAATTAAAGTTTTGCCGTCAAATTGTGAAGTTTCGCTGCCAAATAATAAATGTTTTGCCATGAAATAATGAAGTTTTGCTGTAAAATAATAGAGTTTTACAGTGATGAATTAAATATATGTCACTTGTGGACCACCGTAGTAAGGGGCTTATAGGGTACGCTGATGTAGAACACACTTAATTGGGAGTGTTCACTATTCAATAAAATGAATAACAAATATAATATGTGATGCAATTCGCCACGTTCAATCGTTAAAAGTAGAAATTTCGTCATTATGAAAGTCAAGATTAAAAGTCGAAATTTCGAGATTAAAGTCGAAATTTTGAGATTGGAAGTGGAAATTTAGAGATTTAAAGTCAAAATTTCGAGATCTAATATTTTTTGTCATGGCCTTAATCAGCTTCCGTACGTGGGGAGCATGTGTATACAATATTATTTGAAAACGCTAACTATGTACAAAAAGTAGCGAACACACATAAACACAAACAGAGACCCGACCTTTGACCCTCGTCATACGGACGTCTCAGTACAGGTACAGCACATGATAACACGACTCTGTCACCGATTGGCTACTTTTGCCGCCAATCACTTTGCTGGTGTGTACTCTTGATTATCGCTCATCATGGTAGCAAAGAGACTCGTAAACACCTGGCAAGGTCGTTATCTACGCTCATCTAAGTAAGACACACACTGTGTGTTTACACACACTATCACTATTGACGAACTTTCACGTCAACTCTAAATAGTTGCATTTTGTTGTAAGGTCATTTGACAAGTCAGTAGAAATAGATTATTGGAATAATATTAAGATAACGCATACACCAGTGCTTTAGTTCAGTGGAGGGAAGCAATAATTACTTTATTCTTTAATTATTTTATTTTTATTATTATTTTATTTTATTTTTATTACTAATTACTATTATTTGTGTACTCATTTGCTTATTTTTATTTGGCAGGCAATTTTTCAATATATAAATTATTTGGACCATGGATGAAATAAAAATGAAATTGTTTTAAAATGGTACGACAGTAGCAGCCCCCATTTTTAAACTGAGCCCAAAACATGACAGAGTCCTGCATTCGGTATTGCTTTGGATCCCGCCGAGTGCTGAACGTAGGGGGGGGGGGGGGCGCACAGACGGTGTTGATGGGCGGACCTTGTCCCCCGTGGGATAGAGGCCTAAGTACTTAGGGTAGGTCAATTTTAAGCTCAACTTTTTCCACTGGAACGGTGTTTGAGACCAGAGCCAGCAGAGTCTGGAGTCCAATCTCGTATCTGTATAAATAACGGATGGCATTCGCCGTGAGGTTGCTCTGCTTGACGGAGACAATGGAACTCACCTGATGTGTTCAGTTATTGTATAAATGTGCGAACGGCCCTGAAGTACATAAGAGGGAAGTTGCACGGGCTTATCACAGAGGAACCAATATGTTGGATACGGTGATTTAACCCTGTCGCTTGAACGACATAAATTTATGATGCTAATATTCGAAATATTCGAAACGTGATTTCTATTATGCAGCTACCCCATAAATTAAAATATAATATTTCTCATTAAGTATTACTTTTATGTACTAAGATGATCCATACATGACTGGTGTGTATTATGTAACCACGTCACCGTGACAATAGACACAGATAAACCGTTTCCACGTGGCATTGCTTTTTGAACAGTTTGTGCATCCATAATCACAAAATAACAAAAAAGAGTTAAATTGTAACAGCCTTTCCGATTGACTTTTCGGTTTTCTGATAATAATAACCCAGCCAACCACTCAATGACACGTCACTGCTTTTCTCTCTATAAATATTTCTCGCGACAGTTCATTTGTAATTTCTTACAAAACCAGTTGCATCCCAGTGAAACGTGCATGCATGATGACACCTATTACATTAGGCTATCTTGGCAAAGCGAAGAATAAACACGGGTGTACTATAACACTCAAAACGTTGATTTTTCTGTTTCTAACATATTATATCCAAGAAAGTAACTGCGGCTATGTTAACAGTTTTGATGTCGATGTTAAAATGCAGGGAACACTGGAAGAAGAAGTACATATCGAAGACGAAGATTCTGGTGGTCGTCTGCCAAGGACTCACGAGCCGTATCATTACAGAGTGTGGCTTCAACCGTATTTCACGGAGGCAAAAGACGGACACAAGTTCCTTGACTTAGATGGAAAAGTTGACATTTATTTCAAATGTCTTGAAGATACTGACCGAGTTACTGTTCACCAGCGAATGACGATTCTAAAATACGAACTTTACGACATCAGCGACGCAGTAGAAAAACAGATTCCCATCGCCGGCAACAGTACAATTACCGAATATGATTGGTTTGTCATAAACACGGTTGACCTCCTGGAGTCTGGTACCAGTTACCGTCTCTCTATGGAGTATGTGGGCACCGTGAATAATACAGACGACCGAGGGTTTTACTATGGCAATTATGTGGAAGACGGCCAAAATAAGTAAGTGTCTAAAACGATTTCGAATTGCGATTTATTTTAACAATTTTTAGTTTATAATCCATGCCTTATTGATGCAGCATGTACATTGGTAGTATTGATGGAATCGATGGTATGGGTGGCTCCTAACATTCCTGAATCGGAGTAAAAAGTACGCGATCACAAATCACGTCACCGGTGTGTTTTTAAATTGACGAAAAGGAAACATGGGATAAACATAATAGCAAATGCGTGACCCTGCAATATCAATTTCTATTCCCGAACTATTTAATAAATCCTATATACTAAGGCCACTCACGTGATATTCTCTATTTTCGAACTTGTATATAACTTGCCCCTGATATTGTCAATTGCCTTGTCTATTACACGCAGCTATTACATTTGATGTGACCAGTTGGCAATGGGAAATTGTTTGTAGTTGTCTTCAAAATTTGTGTCGTTTTTGAAAATAAAACTGTATTCAAAGAATAAATAGAAAGTAATTGGTACAGTATTAAACATGTTAAAACGACATTTACAACTTGTAATGTAGTTAGATTTAAACAATATTGTGAAACACGGGGAATCAGTTTGATGAAATCAAAAAAAGGAGTTGTTTAGGAATTGACATCTTGTATTTCAATATTCCTAAATACAAATGGGCCGTTTTCGTATAACGTATATCGCACAGGCTGTGCAGTTCCCAAGAATGAGTGATATAAACTATCTTTAAAGAGGTAAACACACATTGCACAGTGATAATTATAAATTGTACCTTAGGTTTAAGGGTCAAAGGGTCAACTCTTAGCCAGTTCAGTTGAGTACGTTGTATTGTCGATCTCGGTGAATAACATTTATTTCATTTGAACGTTTAAACTTACGTCATTGACAAGAAAAAGTAATTATTATGGTTGTAAAGTAATTGAGAAATATTCTGATACCAGTTTTGATTTATTTGCAGAACATTCGTTGCTACCCAGTTTGAATCTGTCAGAGCACGCCGCGCGTTCCCCTGCTTTGATGAACCAGATTTCAAAGCAACATTTGATACCATATTAGTTTACAGACCAGAGTACGTGGCACTGTCCAACATGGAAACCGTGAGGAATGACACCTACTATGATCCAAACACCGATGATGTGTGGAACGTCACTTATTTTAATACAACCGTCAAAATGTCCACTTATCTGAATGCCTACACCATTGGCGACTGGGCGTGTATAGAAAGCACTTCACGTACGGGAATAAAGGTAAGCAGTGTATACAGACATTAGGTATGATCCAGGTGCAAAGACCGGTATTGTGACCTGTTGAGATCATGCTCGTGTAAATCGTTACCTCAAATAATATTTGCACAATTAATAAGCTTGAAGAGACCTCTATTTTCAATATTTTACTCCGAAACTACCTCACCTTTTTACGATGAAATTTACAATATATAAATGATGCCATACGTCTGAAAACAATGCAGTTGAAATTCATAAAAAAAACTGTTTTAAAGTATTTGAAAATGTACAAGAATAACAACAATGGGTACTATTTTGGTATAAATTGATTTTTGAAACACGATTGAGATGAAACTTGTTCTAACACATATTTATTTTAGTTCCGTATATGGAGTCAGCCCTCGTTGCTTTATCAGGCGGAATACGCACTGGAAGTAGGAATGATACAACTTAGTAACTTTGAAGATCTTTGGGGTATGAGTTATGCCCTGAGGAAAATGGGTAAGCAATTGGATGAAAAAAAAAAAACTTGAACAACATAAATAATAATCCTAAAAATATACGGATATACTAATTTTGACGGATATGCCTGTCTATGTCTCTATAAGATATGTCTGCATTGCCAATATTCGGACCTGGAGCTATGGAAAACTGGGGTTTAATTCTCTACAGAGAAGTGTATTTATTATACAATGAAGAAGAGCATTCACCATCAAGACAGAAAGCAGTAGCACAGGTTATCGGTCATGAAACCATACACCAGGTAATATATACCACTGTTAATCCAATTAAGTTACAATGTATGAAACATGTAATAGTTATCAACTCATTGCTGTATTTCTTTTGTTTCAGTGGTTTGGAAATGTAGTTACAATGGATTGGTGGAGCCATCTTTGGCTTAATGAAGGATTCGCTTCTTATTTCGAATATTATGGAGCAAATTGGGTGGAGCCTGGATTCCAATATGTAAGTTTCTCCGTGATGTTTCAGAAACTTATTATATATTCTGAGAACTTAAGCCAATATTTATAATTGTTCATAATCCCTTGTGTTGCAGTATGAACAATTCTTCCAGGAGGGGGAACAATATAGCACTTTCAACAAGGACCAACAAGGCGACTCACACCCACTGATAATGGACATTTCTACTGATGAGTCGGAAATAACGAGTTTCTTTGACACTATCACCTATAGCAAGGTGAGAATTTACCATTGTCTAGTTTAAATATATCCACTATTGGGAAAATATAATATAACTGAAGTGAAAATTTGTTCTGTCTATAGGGATCATCTATAATTATGCTAATGAGAGGATTTATGGGAGAAGATCTGTTGTTTAAAGGTTTTCGTAATTATCTCAATTGGTTTGCCTACGACAACGCCGTATCTGATGATTTGTGGAGAGTTTTAACAGAGGTAAGTTACCATAGAAATAAAACAGTTACGAAAAGGCAGTGAATTGGACATGTGACCAATCTGGTTTTCTGTCTACAGACAATAGAACATGAGATGGGGGAAAACATTACTGAAGTGTTTGGATTCGATATGAAACAAATTATGGACACTTGGACTTTACAAATGGGATTCCCAGTTGTTGATCTAATCCGTACATCCCCCAGTAACGTTCAAGCTCATCAGAAACATTTCTTAAAAGATCCCAACGACGTGGTTGAAGACGAAGACTTCGGGAACCTTGGGTAAGTCTGTAACTGAGGTTAAATATGCAACGTGTAACAACCATCTCACATTATACTGATTTATGGACAACTGATGATAGGTTTTCAAAGTGTGCAAATAAATACAAAAGAATACCAAACTAACTGCAGTTGGTACTGTCATTTATTGAATAGTATTCACCATACTCTGATCAGTACGTTTGTCATAACCTTGCTCATTGCCAGAGGTTTACTAGTACCTTAAAGTTGTATGTTATTAAGTATTCTACAGTTACTAAAATTGTATATACATATCGACATTTCCTGTGTTAGAGTATGAGAATGAGGCACAATTTTGTCCCGCTTAAAATTAATTGTAATTATTGTTTCTCCTTAGATATGTATGGCACATTCCATTAACTTTCACCCACGAAGCTGAACAATTGTTTGAAAATCCGAAAACCACGTGGCTTCATTTGACTTCCGGTAAGCGTGATACAAATGGAGCAATAATAGCTATGCTGCTTTTTAGAATGTGGCATTCAATTGTAAATATTGATATAATGATTATGTTATCTTATGTCGTTAATTCAGCTGAGTTTACATTGGATGGAGCAGATGAAATTCATTGGTATATTGCTAATATTAACCAGACTGCTCTGATACGGGTCAACTATGATTTAGAGAATTGGGGAAGACTGGCCCAACAACTGTTAGTTAATCATGAGGTGAAATATAATTTCTTTAACCATTATTTATATCGCATGCTGTTAAATACACATAACACGAGATCACATCTAAATTGTACAGCGAATTCGACCTTTGAAAGATTTCCGAATGTATCTTTTCCCACGTTGGGCGCAAGTTTGTTATCTAAATCAACCGTTGATGGCACTGTTACGAATTACGAAAATTTGCGATCTGATTTGGCACGATCAAGTGCGTGTAATCTATACAGACAGCTGAATGTTTCCAGTACGTTTTACGGTTCCATCAACTGTTTTACCTCTTTTATCATGTGTTAATCTTGTGTTATTTTTTGATAGTAAAAACGTCATAAAATTTTATCATCCGAGATCCGACATTATCTATTTTATAGGCACTTCCCGTGAGAAATCGAGCACACCTCATAAACGATGCCCTAGTACTGGGCCAAGCTCAACAACTAGATCACGTTGTATCCATGGAGATAATTCAGTATTTGTACAACGAGATTGAGTATATACCATGGCAAGCCTATATAGCAGAGCAGTATTACACAAAGTACATGTTATGGAGAACGTCAACATATGGCTTGTTACAGGTCCGTTATTGTTCATACCTTAATTGGCTTTAGTGTAGATAGAGGAAGAATAATATGCTATAAGACGTTATTAACAACAGAACGTGTTGTTATCCGAATCCTTGGCGTAGATATTCTAAGTCACTTATACTTAATATTCAATTTCAGAAATACATACGATATTTGGTTAGTCCAAATTATGCAAATCTGGGGTGGGATTTTGACCCGACAGACGACATTGACTAGTAAGTATGAATTGTTAAAAATCACTTATGTTAACTTTTATGGAATTGACAT